AATGGATACAATGGATCGCTGACAGAAGTACACGAGAAGTTGCACACGAGCTATAGCAGTAATGGCTTTCCCCAGTCCAACCTGGTGATTTGTGCCTTTGACCTTGCTGTCACTGAGGCTCTTCGGACAAGGACCTGGATTTGAAGCTAATACCCAATTAAATCCATTGTGCTCTCGCCCGGGTCTCCAAATTAGTCTCTTAGTCTCAACAGGCTTAATTAGACTGCTGTTAAGCCTTACTAGCAAAGCACTGGGACAAACTATTGGCCAGGATCTTAAACCGTAAGTAATAAGGATGCACCAAGGATCTATGTGGGCCACATAAATAACATATTTATGTGCAATTAGAGAATATTTATATATGTAATTGAATTAACTTGAACATATTACTTTTTTGGTATACTCATCCACTGATGTGGCAGTTTAAATTTCTAAGTACACAACCTGGTGAATATTGAGTTTCTCATTCCGAGGTACCATAACCAGCATTCAAAATGAATTAGTACAGATATTCAGTCAAACTGCTGTTCATTTCTTGCAGCACAGGCAATCTTACATTTATCTAATTTATCTCTAATTTAACTACATGGCATTTCTAATATCTAAATTCCATGGCAGGGCAAATGGAATGACTTTAGTTTCATTTCTAGTGTCAGAAATCTATTCTCAGGAAAGAAAAAAAAATAGTTGTAAACATATTAGACAGCACAGATGCATCAGCCCTGAGCTAAGGATGTACGATTCATAAAATAATGACTGTGTACAGTTGAACCATTTCAATTTTGATCTTGTTTTTTGTGCTCTTGTGTGTAAATGTCTTGGGAGAACTGCAGGGGTGAATCAGATTTATTAAGCACACTGATTATATTAGATACATTGTGTCCTTCTATGGAGTGCAATGATGGTCAGTATGGCTAGCTACCAATCAGGAATTATAATGAGCAACAGCATTTTAATAGGAATGAATAAAAATTAAATAGTTGCAATTACTGTAAAAATGAACCATTCATAAGTTTACATATAATATGAGACCATTTGAGACCCTGCCCTTCACATTAACCCTGACCATTCATTGGCTTATATATCATTTGTCTGACTTTTATTCAGATACCCAGATTTTTTTTTTAGCTATTATAGCTAAAACAAGGCTGTGAAACAAAAAATCTGTACAAGCATCATCTCAGACACTGTGACTCAAACCTTCTGGCTTACTTATGTAGACCATCAGAGTTTTATTTGAGACTAAATATGATACAAAAGTGCATTAAAATTACAATTAAATTTCAGATGCACAAGGTTTCTTTATGAAACCATCTCAATGCATACTTGGGAGCTCGGAAAGATTTTTCCTCCTTTACAGAGCAAATTTCACAAGTCTTTAAGTAAAATCGAAGTAAAAAGGCAGGCCTTCGTGCATTGACTCCAGTTCCCAACAGGAAGCTATTAAAGATGTGAAACCCTTTTCTCAAGATACATCCAGCACATTCAATTAAATTTTTCTAAAATAATGCAAACACCCATTTTCCATTCTGCTGTTAGCTCAAGTCAAGATATTGTTTTCAAATTTCAAGGCTGACCTCCAAAATGATACATTCCTCCAGTGGTAATGTGAATGACTGCATTGGTCCTCACAGCTGAGGATTCATCTCCATCTATGGTCAGCATGGCAAAGTTCTCTTTGGCCAAAAAGCGAACATCATGCCATTCTCCATCGTTCAGCCCTGAACCTGTAATTATAAAAACATACAGATACAAGAGAAGGAATATTACAGGTTTGACTTAAACTGGCGGAGATCTAGTGCAGAGTTTATCTGAATATGAGAGATACAATCCTATCACTATGTAAGATTTTGACCATAATTAATTAACAATAAATGGAGAGGAATTATTTAATGAAAACATTTCTGAGAAGAAATGAAGACATTTCTGAAAGTTTCTGTATATTTATTGCTGACATAACTACGCTAGACATCGAAGTAGGCCACAAATGCAAAAAGGCTTAATAAAAACACACACATGCAAATACAGATAAAGAGAATGAGAGCAAGCAATCAAGAATAAGTAAATATACAACACAAACACATTAGATAAGACAAGAGTAGCAACAGATGAGCACTTCGCACTGAAGTCAAAGTGGTGGGTGTTTATATAGTTCTTGTTTAATGAGATTGTTAGTACTCAGGGGAATACAGACTGTTAAGGCTGAGCTGCTCCATGTAGATTAGTGGCAACTGTCAGGTAGCTATTCCAAAATGCAGAACATTAGAATATCTGTTAGTAGCATCTACTAGACTGCATATGAGTACATTCTAATCACTAACTTTTTAAAATGTATTTCAAACTTTTTTAATATTGTAAAATCTATCCTGTCAGTCAAGGCAATTGTTAACTAATTTGATCAGTTCACTAGAAGAATTTACTATATCGTATATCTTTATTAGAAAAGTATCAGTAGACACATTCACACAATAGAAGGACCACACACACATTGCACATAATGTAATCTGAAATAATCACAGCTTTATTCCAGCATAGACGTGTCGGGTCCCTCTGATACCCATATACTCAGTTCAGACAACAAAAGGCCATTAAGTGGGTCAATATGAGGAAGACCAGCAAAATACAAGACACGTTGAATGTCAGTCACAAACGAGACCTTGTCTGAAAGGCTCAAAGCTCAGGTTACCAGCCTCTATAACTATAGCCACTGGCTATAATCGATAAATCACAGGAATGTGTTTCTGAGTCATTACCATGACTGAAAGCCATCAGAACAAAATAACAAACTCTGCTTGTTTGAAATATTAAGGGTGTAACAATATGGCATATTGATTGATATGAGGCTATTAATTTGATACGTTAGTATATTGAAAAATACATTCAACAGACTGCATAATAAAGTATACTATTCATGATAAAATGCAGCTTATATTACATGAGGTGTAATAAAGATTTAAACTTAATCAAGGCCACACTCACTCACTGAAAAAGTGGCTTCCTCTTTATTTCAAAGCAGAGGCTACAAGGAATTAAAAAACCACACTTTTCTTAAGCATGCTGTGTTTCATGAGCTAATACGCTACATTTACATTTGTGGCATTTGGCAGATGCCCTTATCCAGAGCAACTTACAGTTATCTCATTTATACAACTGAGGGTTAAGGGCCTTGCTCAAGGGCCCGGCAGTGGCAGTAGTCTGAACGGATCACACAAACACTGTCATTAAATTTTAATTATTGCACTTTTATAGTGTTGAATCATTTAATCAATTGAAAAGGGAAACCTTGGGGAACCTTTTTCCTGGTTTCTCCTTTACAGTATCCGGAGGATTCATCCATTTCTATTCACAGAGGCCACTCAGGTGCTTGTTTAGTCCGTTGTCATTTCGAAACTGGAAGACTGCAACTCGATCCTGGCAGGTCTGCCATTTGACCTCTGCAACTGAGTCAGAATGCAGCTGCACGACTTCCCAAGTTCTCCCCCACCACACCATTGCTATGCTCTCTCCACTGGTTTCCTGTAGCTGCCCTTAAAACACTGATGCTCAACTACAAAGCCAAAAATGGACGAGCAGCCCCATACCTTAAAGCACTTATCACATCACACACTGCACCACGTTCCCGCCGATCCTCTAGCACTGTTCGATGCTCTGGATATGGGCACCTGCCATAAATGTAAATGTAAATAAAATAATACTAGGCACACTACAGTTAAGAAATATATATGATATTTGTGGTACTAAGTGACAGCATTCACTCTTTCTTTGTCTCTATCCATCTATCTGTCCAAATCTGTGTTTTGTGATGCATGACAGTGTTACAGCTGTCAAAAGCTGATCTCTGAAGTAAGGGATATGAGAAAAAAAATGGACAGCTTTTGGGCAGAATATTTTGTGAGTCCAGATTCTAGTCTACTGCAAGCCCATTCTTTAAAAAAAAAAAGATTGATAATGCACTTCACTCCAAGAGCAAATAGCACAACATTATGGGATTGAAATGGGATTTCTGTGTGATATTGTGACTGGTTGAGTGTGCAATGAGCTAGCATTAGCAATTGCACACATATAGAAGTAAAAAAAAAAAAAAAAAAAGCAATATTGCTCTCCATGCTGAGAGCTGAAGCAATAAGCTATAGTAATCTGGAGGTTCACACTCTTAGTATTTATTGACTTCCCATACACACCAGCCTCCAGGATCACAGTGCAACACAACACAGATACATCATACACACTAGTGCAAAGAGTATAAGTGTACCACAGCACATACGGTAAGACAGTATGAGATACGACACAGTGCACACTAACTGCAGCTCATTACATCTTGACAGTGTGAAAGAGCACGCCACCTCAGCCACTGCCTTTCACCACTGGAGACTCTGCAATGATTTTCTCTTGTCTTGGGTTAATTTGGATTAATTTGGAGATGAAGCCCCTTGTTAAGGCTAACTGTGTGGTTTAAACTCTGAGGATTGCTACTCTACATACGCCTTCTCCAGCCTTTCTTCAACTCTTCCGGTCTTTAGACCAATATTCTAAGAAACTAGTCTACTGAATTGCAAGCAGGGTGATCATAGGTTTAGAAATTCAGGTAAAACACGACCATCATCTAAGTGTTCAATTTTGGATATGTGAGGTTTTTTGCAGTCACCAGATCTCATCCCAATTGAACACCTATGGGAGATTTTGGTGCAATGTGTTAGACAGTGCTCTCCAACAGCATCATCAAAACAGCAGTTGAGGTAACATCTTTTGGAAGAATGGTGTTCTTCCCTCCAGTACCCTCCAGACACTTGTAGAATCTATTCCAATGTGCAGTGAAGCTGTTCTGGAGGCTTATGGTGGCCCAACAGTTTATTAAGGTATGTTGGCTTTTCCTTTCATTTGTAACAAATCTGTAAATGTGGTTGTGAGCTATTAAATCCTATAATGTTAAATAAAAATGACCAAGAGTAGCATTTTTCATGTAGCATTTAAAGCAACATACAAGCAGTATATAGTTAGGGTCCCTGGAAGACTAATGGTTAAGCCACAGCAGTCTTGCCACAGCAGCCCAGGTTCGATCCTTGGCCAGGGAACCAACCCCAGCCATTGGGATTGCATGCAACAGTGCGCTCTCAGTGCCAGTCGAAAGCCCAGATAAAAATTGGGGAGGGTTGTGTCAGGAAGGGCATCTGGCATAAAAACTGTGCGGAATCAAATATACGCAGACCAATGATCTGCTGTGGCGACCCAAATCAGCTATAAAATATCCTATATCATATTTCTAATATGTATCTTCTTCATATTGCTTAAGCTTGTAGCTGAGAATTAAGATGGCTCTTTTTTGGTCTGAGTCGACCACGAAACTGTCGTGTGTGCTATACTGAGTCAAAAGAAGAGCTCGGATTATTCTTGACTTATAAAATTTGACCACAACATACTGTGAAAGAGTGAATATCACTCAGCACTCACCCTCAGAGCCCAGCATACATTCTGCATCGTGTCAACAAAGAATATGACAGCAGTTCCGTACAGACAATATGATCATTTCAGAATTGCTCCAGGAAATTGCATTACTTTAAGAGAGAAACCAATGGGAATAAACACTACGTAGGCTGTCATCTACTAATCGGGGTAGGAGTCACACAAAATTGTGTATTTAAAAATGACAAGATGATGATGTGGTAACAATCGCAATTGCAATGACAATAATTACAATTACAATGTATTAAATTATAAAAATGATACTGCATGCTGTGACTAAGTAAACTAATGAATGAATTTCATGATGTTATTTAAGCTTTATAAAGCAGTATTTTAGTGTATACCATTGTTTACAAACAATTGGTACTTCCTAACAATGAACTATATGTACAGTTATATAGCTTTATGAATATTAGCTTTGCAGAATTTCCATTCCAGTTGCAATGGGAAAAGATCACACTGTCACTGTATACAGTTCAACTCAGTCCAACCAAATGTCCAACATTCAAACTTTCATCTTCATTCACTTTTTTTAAAATCCACTGCAGGAATTCCTTTTGTTATGACTCCGAAGGAAATAAACATGAGCCGCCTCTATCGAGACAGAAAGAACAGCTGAGTTACAGCACTTTACACTTGATTTTCTACACTATCCCCTTCATCATTCAGAAATGCTGCCTATGCAATCTGCTCAACTCTGAAAGCAATCTACCCAAGCTTCAATAACAGCATGTTACCAGCGTCTCTGAGAGCACAGACGGCATAAAAAAAAGATTCAGTTTGTGATTATCTGGGGAACACAGATACACAGAAATGACAGATACTGATATATATATATATACAGTATATGTGTGTGTGTGTGTGTGTGCCATTATTTTCTATACAGTATCATACTAATATACTAATAGCAGGTTCTCTCTGTGTTATTCACTTAATCATTAAGACCGTACACAGAAATTGAAAAAGAAAAAAATTAGATTGTAATGTGATATAAAAGAAGTTTGTTCAGATACATGTCTGAGTGAGAGCCACCGAGATGAGAAACATAAGACGTGCTTCTAAGCAGCCTGACAAATTTAATAGCATGGAGCAAACATGGATGAAAATGTGGACAGAAATCAATCAGTTAGAACTATACAGTATCTAAACACTGAACTCTGGACACTTGAAAAACTGAATAACTGTAATGAATAACTGTGTAAAATTTGTCTTTTAAATTTCTAAAGTAAGTTTCAGGCAAATATTTCACTGCACTTTTTTATTTTTGTCACATCCACATCTGCAATGCCCCGTCGACCCCAGTTCCCACTGAAACCTATCCCTGCTCACAGTCACTGAACTTCTGATCATGCACACCTGCTCACAATCACAGAGACTCCTTTAAATAACCCAGACCTAAATAAACAGTCCTTGCAAAGTCTCACTCTGGCATTGTGCCTCTCCCGCTTTTTTTCACTGTTTTGACCTCTGCTTTTTTATTTTTTACCCATTTGCGCAGTCTAGATCGTGCCTGTTTGCCGATCACCTAACCGCTTGCCTGTACCTTGTGTGGAGTATTGCCTAGAGTACTGCCTTAAAAAAAAAATAAATAAATAAAATAAAAACCTAAATCCTTCACTTATTAATATTAAACCAATATTAAATCCATTTTTGGAGTCAAGAGGATGCTGAAGAGAGAGATTCTTCAATCTTCCAGAAAGCAACACCTATATAATACACCACTACATGGCCAAAAGCATTTGGGCACCTGACCATCACACTCATATGTGGGTCTTCTGCAAACTGCTGCTACAAAGTTGGAAGCCAAAATTGTCTAGAATGTATAATTAGCCCTTCATTGGAACTAAGGTCCCTTAACATGTTCCAGTACGACAGTGCCCCTGTGCACACTGCAAGGTCTATAATGACATGGTTTGCCAAGGCTGTTGTGGATGAACTCGAGTAGCCTGCACAGAGCCCTGACTATAACACTTTAGGGATCAAGTGGAATGCCGACTATGTGACACATCTTCTCATTCGATGTCAGTGCCTGACCTCTCTAAATCCCTATAGTCATGTTTCAAGGGAAAAAGACTTCCCAGACCAGTGGAGGCCATTAATACAGCAAAGGTGGGGAACAATTCCATATCAATGCCCATGGTTTTGGAATGGGATGTTCAACAAGCACATATGGGTGTAATGGTTAGGTGTCTACATACTTTTGGCCATATAGTGTATTATCAATTTTCCATGATCAACCATATTAGTATGATGAATCTTGACCTAAATAAACCATTGTTCTTTAAGGGGTGACAAGGAAATTACATTTCGATTTAAACTGTCACTCCAGGTGTGTTATTTAAACTGTTCATGTAATAAATTACATGTTTACTTATTTAAACTGTTATGAATAAATAAAGGGCACTATATTCATGCCAGGACAAGCATAATTTACTGGTTAATATGAGAGTTATTATATTTTGTTTACTCGCCAATTTTACCACCTGCAGTGATTGTCACGAAAATACCAAAAATATACAATGCACTGATTACATGCCTTGTTTTTGCTTGTGTGCTATGCTCATAAAAATAGAGCTGAAAGTTTCCACAACTGACCTTCTGCAGAAAATGTATCAACGCTGAAAAACAGATCATTCCAATGCAGCCCAAGCTAAACTTATTATACTTATTATATTGTACTTATTATAGTTTTCTTTCCTCAATAGCCACGGGAAATGCAGAGACTTACTTCCCTTAACCAAATATTTAGAAGCAAAGCTAAAGGCAAAAGCTGGAGGGCTACATTAATTTGAGTGGGAAAAACAGTCTCAGTTATACATGTGGATCAATATGTGATAGAGTACCGAGTAAACAATAGGCAGTTCTCTTTGCCAGCAAACCTCACAGGCCTTGAAGGCATCTGTTCCTGGCTGGCGATGTCAAACAAAACATAGCCAACTACCTTTTATGAGGAGGAAACAATAATTGCCATATCATATAGAAGTTTTTTTTCATGTTATTGCAGACTTGTGTGATTTATCATGCTAACATACCTCATCATTCTACAGGCCCAGATTTCAGTGGAAAATCTCAGTGGTAATTTATAGTCACCCTGTCAGTTTATTTATCTATGAATTAGATGAAACAGAATTTAAAACAATGCGAATGCACACTATTGCAGAGCCTGTAAAAGAGATTTATCTTTGAGACTATTTATCTTTGAGTTTTAGCTCATAGATGTCTTATAAATTATCTGTTAGTATGTTAACTAAAAGATTTGTCATTTGCGATTTTTCAGTAATGTAAAGGCTCCCAGATGTCTTATCAATTATTATTATGATCAGTTTCATATGTTGCATTTTTCTCTACATATTTAAAGAACATCTCAACCTTATGTTAACAAAATCTTAGACAGCTATGAAAACCACCTTAACATAATTAACTTAATTAAGTTACTAATTACTAATATAATGTTTTTTCTGTTTGTTTTTAATCTGACTAGAAGAAAATGTAGCCCGGAGGTTTACTCTATTAACCAACCAACCATGTGCTGCCCACTTGGAGACTGTATACCTTTCCTGGAAAGGTCACTTTATGATTGGCAAGAAATTAACTGGCTTCCAGTTCTCTGGAATCTACTAAAAAATAATTAATCCACCAGTCTATTAGTGAAACATAATATGCCGACTTTTCTACAATACCAGTCTTTCCATTTGAGGCTAGAAATCTGTTTTTTGTTTTTTTTTTGGACAGCAATAATGTTTGGCATGCATTGATTCCATTCTTTGTTGTTGGACTGGTCAGGAAGGTGTCCAATAGTATTGGTGTTATGCCATTACCAGCTAGAAAAAGCGACATCAGGCATAATTTTGCTAAATTGTTGAATTATACACTTACCACTTTTTATGAAATATCAAGCTTTCATAAAAAACATTGTAGTCCAATAAAAAAGACTGCCCACCAAGCCTCAAAATAAATGAACACACACACACACACACACACACACACACACACACACACACACACACACACACACACACACTCCACTCACTGCTCTTGGAGAGAGTGTGAAAGAGAGATATTGCATACATATACACGGGGCAACTGATAATATACATTAGTCACAACCTTTCTAGCTCATCCACCTATCACCTCCCTCATGCTAAACCATGCCTCCACCTGCTACATTGAGTCTAGCATCAATAGTAGGCCACATAACAGTCACATGGATTTCTTACTATGTAAGAAAATTAATCAGATTATTATTACTAACCTCCACCAGGCTGCAAATGTCCATACAACAAATTTTACCACAAGGTTAATACAACTGTGTTAAGAAGACTAACATTGACCTGTTAGAGCAGGAACCTTAAGTTTAGAGAATGTCCTATGAAGATTTAGGGGTGTTTTTGGGGATTGGCTAGATTAAACAATGTGACATTAGGCACATTTGAGGAAAACCAGAAAAAACTGCTGTATAAAACAATAGCGCATGAGCTCTCTGAATGCACACAGTCAAGTGCAAGTCCTCCGTACCTGATGCCATGTCAACACGTGAGCTTTTCAGCTGCAAGACACTGAGGTGCACCATGACTTTGCCATCTTTCAGCACAAGCTCCAACATGCCATCAGC